ATATATAAGGGATGGTTTCATCCCTTTAAACCGTTTTTGGGCCGCAACTACTAATTTCTAAATTCATCTATTTAAGTAACCTACATGTATAAAAAGTTTCGTTAAGATCAGAATTTGACACTTCGCGAGGTTCCCTTGTTAGTAGTAGTATTGACGAATACTCCATGTGGGTTGCTATATTTTAACAAAAAAATTTTTTCTTAAATTTTATAATTACATATTATTATTTGTAGAGTTTAATTTGTTTCGCATGTTTTTTATTATTACAATTTATACGCAGGTTTATAATTTTTGAAAATACATCGAAATATTCGAGATTCGAACCTGAGATATCCTAATCCCTAGCACTTCAAGACTTGTACGCTAATGCTGAGCTAATGATACTTTGTACAAAGGAGTTATATATTCTTTCCATATAATCTTACATTTTTGCTTTTATTTATTATATATTTAAAAAGCTCTATTGTTTAAAAAATGAGATTTATATAAAAAATCGCGAATTTTGTCTGATAAAAAAAAATCAGTTTTATATGTACCTATATATCTTATTTTTTAATTCCCCTTAATATTCAAGTATTGATGAATACATTTTGATTAGTATGCATCAATACTTGCTGACTGTCAATATTCAGTATTCATCAATATTTAACTACCTCAATTAATACATAATTATAAATGTACATACAGTAATCTCTAATACTTTAGTATTCATCAATATTAACTGTCAATACTCGGTATTCATCAATATTTAACTATTATCTCAAATATATATACCCAATCAGCAAAATGCTAGCAAAATGTCGACAGACAGCAAATTAGATCAGAAAATGTTAGCAGCATGAACTCATCTGAGGTCGCATTCTGCTTATATTCTGTCGACAGAATCTGCTTACATAATTTGACAGCAGATTGGCAACAGAAATCGAGCAGATTGTGCTGACAGACTTTATCATTAAATTGACGGCAGAAACCGAACAGAATCTGCGCGACATAATCTGATAGCAGACTGAGAACAGAAATCGAGCACACTTTGCAGTTTTGTAGTAAGCATTTAAATTGTCATTGGTACTGAAATTTAACAAAATAGCTTTTTATTTTTTTCTAAATTTTATTTTAAAGTAATAATTTTAAATTGTTTTATTAATAAAAATTAATATATGTATTTTATATTAAAGCACTGATTCCTATTTTTCCGAAAATATTCCAGATCGGAAGAGCAC